AAACTATTACAGATCAGGTAGATCTCAGTATGCCATTACAATTCTGAAACATTTTCTGACTACTTAATTGCATTTTTTAAAATATCGTTCAATATTTTATGATTGCGTTAATGTTTGCTGAAATATTATGAGAAGCTAACTCATGTTTTAATTTTAATTATTTACTAGGAAGCTACACATACGAAAGCCAAGAAGCTAAATTGTGTGCTTTTAAAGGTGAAATTTGCAAATATTTCAAAAATATTTAGTCAATTTTTCCTATAAATAAAACACCCTTCCCTGCAAAACTGATGCGAACTTCAGGGAAGAAAGCCATTTTATTCTCTTCGATCTATCGTGGCATTAAGCACAACTTATTGTGTCCAAAGACAAAGTTATAAGAGGCAAATGTTCTTAAGCTGATCTAAACGAATGATCAAACTTTAGAAGCCGTTCAGGTAAACAATCTTAACATTATATAAAAACTGGGTTTCGAAGAATTCCTTAATGGATTGATGTTGGCAAGGCCATCCCCCTATAGCTTTGGTGAGACCAACTTACGAATCCCTTCCAGTCACCTCTTCAACCGAAATGAAAGGTACTCCAACATTAAATTTAGCATTTACTGTATGCTAGACAAAAGCCACCTCGTTAAACCAAATTCCTAAGCCTTTTTAGAACTTTCAGATAAGTGTCTGATATAGGTAGGACTCATTCTTGTGAAATTCTCAAGTTAGCACATAGCGCTAACCTGATATAGGTACCCGAAAAGAGCCATGCTTGAAACCTCATTGAAATTATCTGCGTAAAAATTACTATAGGACAGCCTACTAAGAGTTATGTAACAGTAATAATAAAAAAGGGTGAACGAAAAATAAATATCGAAGGTATACAGACCAGGATTGTGTGGACTTTACTAAGGTCGCGGTCCCTTTTTGTTGGAGAGAAGTCGTTTTTGCAATGTGGTCATGTTGGTAGAAAGACCTAGAGGAACGAACTTTGTCCGGAGTCTATAGTATGCATGGCGATTTCCAGAGACGGACCGTGGACTTGATACGTCTGGGAATGTACCAAGTCCACGGTCCGACTCTGAAAATTATCATGCATACAGTGGAGTTCGGACAAGGTGCGTTTCTCTAGGTCTTTCTGCCAATATGACCAAGTTATGAAATTAAGGGCAAACAATTTCTAAAAAATGAATATGTTGGCCCTGATACTACCGTCAATTAAGCCTCAGAAGGATAACTGTTTTAATAATAAAAATGTACTATATCACAGAATAACCACGAGTGAAGCCAGAAACTGAAAATAGGATCGGAAAAACAGATCTTTCGTTACAGATTTTTCGTTACTTTTGATAAGAAAAGATCACATATAATTTTGCGTTTATATATAGGTTTTCGAAACTTCCAGTAGATCCTACATATGAGATGATGGACTAATAATTGAAAATTTCTAGTGATTCAAGTAGTACTTAAGTTTCCATTGAATTTTACAAAGGCTTTCTTCCCAAAAGGAATTCTCATTCAGGTTGGACTGAAGGTTCGACATCGCCTAAGTCTCTTCACCCCCCTCCCAGAAAGACTTTAATCGCGATATTACAAAGTATAACTTCGACACATTAACCGGTAAACCACACTGCCCCGAGTGCGCTTGATTTACAGAACACATGTAAATTTCAAGGAAGACTAGGCATTATTCTATCTCACATGTTCAAAGGCATGGATGAGAAAACCTTTTTGAAACAAAAGCTATGTGAAATCCAACGGAAACATAAGGCCTACTCATAGCATTGTTGGTGCATTCAACTACCAGTCCTTGATCACCTTAAAGAAATAAAGTGAATACATCTCATAATTTAGAATTGACCGTTAAAAATGAAATCAACAAATAATGATAATGAGTGAGAAGTTTAATTGAGAATAAGTAGAAATGTAAAAATATGAAATATTCCATTTTCAAATTAAATAAATGTATATAGATATTTCTATACTTTAACCTAGTGTAAATCAAGGTAAAGCAGTGAAATATTTTTTTAGGGTTGATAAAAGCTACCTGAAAGTCTTCACTGGGCTGGAAAGCCTGCTTATCGAAATTCGCCCTGCGCGGTAAGGCATCGAGGCATGAGATAAGTTGAAGACAAATCGACCGGTACAAGCAGGCAAAGCTGGAATATTTGTGGTCAGTACCAAGGTAGCGCAGCACAACGATTATGTTACTTCCTTGTAGGTTATCATCTGCCTCTTCGCTGATCCATTGTCGTACCATAAACGCGGCTTTGCTGAGAAGGAAAGTCTTCCCGGTTCCAGACTCGCCACAGATCACGAGTGGCTCTGTTAAGAAAGGGTCAGAGGTAAGAGATTATAAAGAAAGTAGATCTAGGATCCTTTTCACATTTGAGCTAATCTAATTGTGATTAGGAAGCCGCCTATAATCGGCATTCTAGTCTTATAAGCAAAGTTGCTGCCAGCCTTAGGCTCTTTCCGACTGAATGGAGGTCGTCTGTTTCCGTTGTCCATATAAAGTTACTCCAGATGTAGCAGCAACCCTTAGAGAAATGTTAAGAGACTTTGATTGGCCAAACAGAAAGATTGATACCATTGGAGCTATCATGTACCCGCTGTTTAACAGGGATTCGTAAAATTGTCAGTAAAAAATTATTTTTTTTTTCAGAATCTGAGTATTCAGACCAATGTCCGCACACGCAGAATGACTGTGAAGATCGGCCAGGCTGAGACATGCGCGGGGAATGAACTTTGTCTATAACCATACCAACAGACTCTTTGAAACTAGTTGGAGAGCACGTGGGAAATAAATATGTCAGAATCTGTTAACTACCACTGAGGCATATCCAGCTGCAAGATTGACGGAATTGCTGGAGTCATGAGGGAGATCACTCCCCATCGGCTTGTAAAAGGTGAATAATTGGGCTATCATCAATACTCTCGGCCGACCCTCTCAAGCTAAGAGGTCTTAAAACAAGCAAAAACTTTTAAAGATTAACTTAATTAGGATAAATAACTTAAGGAACATGAGCCCGAATTTATCCAGAGTGAAATCTAGCCATCAGACGTATTATCTGAAGAAGTGCTTTTAAACGTCACGGCAACTAGTACAGCAAATGTAGATAAGTTGCCTAGTATGTTCTCTCATCCGACGCTCATCACGAGCCCAATTTAAATTCCCATCCTCTAAAGGCTTGACTCCCAAGCAGTCTAGACGAGAATCGTTGTTACTAACACACATTAGATAGGCTGTGTCGAGTAATAAGAATTTAGAGCTCCAAATCCTTCCGTGTTCCGATCCAATGTCCATCAATGCATGAAAGTGACCATATTAAAGTTAAAAAGGAATCTACAATGTACTAGATGCCAAACCCTTGTAAATCTCATCAAGAAGGCAATGTTATTCGAACAAGACAAGAATTATTAGTCAGACAGATTTTTTTAGCGTCATTATCATAAATAAAGATTAATGCTAATACATAAAGGCATTGCGGCACTCTATAAGCAGTTTGGTAGCCAGTAATTTATTGAGTATTGCGATCATTACACAAATTGTAACTTTCATATTATTGGAGTTATAAGTTGCTAAAAAAATAAAATGTTTAATTTGCTTTAATCATCAATATAT